CCTAACAGGATCTCCATCATCTCAGTCATGTTGATCCTTAGAAACATGTTAGGGTAGCATATCAATGCTGTGACTCCGGCTAACACCGTAGCCTCGATAATTGGATGTCGAGATAGATATTTCTTCCGGAACGCCTGCGATCTTAGGTTCCATTTCATAACAAAAGCGCCATACAACCCGCCAAAGACGCCTAGCAAAACAAAAAAAACCAATTCAAAGGAATGCCACGTCCGAGCATATTTCACTTGGAACATTACAAGCTGACCTGTTCGAAAGGGATTCATTGCCTGAGGTAATCATGAGCAAGTTTGCCAATCAGGCAAGTAGAGCGGCTCTCGCTGGGACTTACCGCAAGGACTCCAGTTGCCACTAGAGCGCAAAAATAACTCCTCCAAAGCGTTTTTAAGGGGAAATATGAAGCCATTTCCTGTGTAAAGGTTAATTAATATATAATATAAATTTAAGAATAGTGTAAATACCTCCAACGAAAACAAAACACCTCCTATAGGAGAACCAAAGGCGACCGCTACTCCAGCGCCAGCTGTGGCAGTCAAGATCTCCCGAGTCTTTGCTGCATTTCGTTTATATTTGCTGAACCATCGTGAAATGACATTTCCAGTGCATACGGCAAAATGGACACTGGGGCCTTCCTTGCCCACTGAGAGCCCAGATGCAATGGACAGCGGTAAGGTCAAAGATTTTATAATCAAGGTTCTTGCCCCAAGGAAACCTTTCATGATGAAACCAGCAATGATAACTTTGATTTCCGATATGCCGGACCCTGCAGCATATGGCGCAAATGAGCTGACAAGAACGGCAGAAGAGAACGCAAAAAGCACCTAAAGTACAGAAGAAAACGGTTAGATATCCTATTCTCCAGCTTCATAACCACATAATGACAATACAAAGTAGTACCTACCGCGAATATAAAGTATGCGATGTAATCTAATGGCGCTATCGATGTCCACCGCCGCCACTCCGGACAACCTTCCAAAGCTGCAAATCAGTAAAAACAGAGCTGAAGAAGAAACGGAAAGCCGAGGTAATGAAGAAGAGCGAGGAAAAATACCATCTTCGGCACCCCAACAGCAAAACGACTCATTCAAATAAAATCCCGTCGTGCAATACCCCAACTTAATATCTGCCAACCACTCCGTGACAATATTCAGAAAGGCCGCATTCAACCCAATCGCAGCCCCAACGATGGTGACAACCAGCCACGACTGGCCAGCATCATACGATTCGCTGACTTTCCTTCTCCATCCCAACGTACCCTCTTGGTCCCAGAACCGCGAGCCATCTTTACGCTTCGCTCGCCGGCGCGCCTGCTCGTGCACGGCATCCTGCACCCAGTCGATGGTCGTGAAGTCTTCGTAGCGCTTGATCTCGTTGATCTCGTAGATTTCGTCCCTTACGGTTGGGGGGATGGCGTGGGTCCCGCTTCCCCGTGGCGTTACTGCGGGAGGGGTCTGTGTACGCACATAATCTGTGGAGCCGCTGGTGCTGAGCCGGTGAATGGAGGTGCGGCGATGTGGACGGCGGGAGTTGGCGGGCTGAGATGAGGGCAAGGGGTTCATAACACCGGCGACACAAGGGTTCCCGTGATCATCGTCAATGGGACGGGGAATATATGTCACTGTCCGAGACACGGTGGATAGATCAATAAACAAGAGGATAGGTTGCTGATTGATCGAGGGAGTGGATCGCTGTCTTGATTTAACAAGTGATGTCCACTATCCGAGGCTGGGCGAACC